ACCCTGCTGCCGACTGTGACGATACACCCTGCTGCCGACTGTGACGATACACCCTGCTGCCGACTGTGACGATACACCCTGCTGCCGACTGTGACACTCACTACATGTGTGATGCAGACCATCACTGTTGGCTCACTGGATTCGAATGCTGTGCAAGTAATCAGAAGGCTGCGGTTTGAATCCCACAGTCAACATTGATTTTTATCACTCTGCCCTTAACGCCCATTTGCTCCAGGAACCATCTGACCCTGTTTTTGCAGAAATGTACATTGCTTTGGAAAAAGTGTCTGGTACATAAATAAAATATTAATTCACAGACCTGACATCAGGAGAGACGGGGATATGACACCACAGAGCGTGTGTGATAAACTGGAATGAACTGTAGTGGGCAGCTGTGTACAAATCAACCTCAGGTTGCTCTCCAAGCTTTTTCCTCTTCAAAGTCCAGTCTCCCGGCTTTGAAGGCTCCTGCAGGGAAACAGAAATGGGGGCAGAAGCAGGGGCGCATGTGAGAAGCAAAAACTACCTCATTTATAAAAACGTTGCGTAGAAACCATCCTACATTTGATCTAAGATCGTTTTTGAACAGTGTGTAATTGTCATTCACAGAAAATGGACAAATGCACAAAAAAAAAAAAACATGCATATGCCACTCTTCTGGATGTGCAATCAATAAATCGCAAATGATAAACCTCAACCTTAGAAACACCCCCTATGTAATATCATTAGCATATAAATGAGCTGGAATCAAAGCCCAAATTGTCTACTTCATAATGGTGAGCTACAAAAGAAGAATGTGTTAGTATGGAATATTATTTAGCACTATACAACGTAGAATATAGTCCTTATGATATTATTAAAAAGCATGCCAAATACCCATGATGTAATCATTACAATGTAATCAACACAATGTAATCAACTAAGTATGTATTTGCACCTTGTGTTAGCCTCAAGGGAGTCCCATCTTCCGTGGGCAGGACCGGCTGTAGTTGCTGACGTCAGAAATGGGTGTGACCGGATGGGTGTGTCACGGTATGTGCAGCACGGATAGGGAAAGCAGGTGAACGGAAGCCAGGGATCGGGGAATACGGAGTTTATGCCAAAACACAGAGTACGCAACAAAACAACATCAATGACC